GGCCCAAGCCTGGCCTCCCCTGCCTTTCCCCAGGCATGGTTCCTTCCACCCTGGGCGTTGCGCAGCCCCCAAGTCAGGAAAGAGACAATGGCCTCCCTTCTGCTCCCCTGCAAGCCCTCTCTACACTGCAGCCACACTGACCTTTATACATTATAGATTAGATGTGTCACTGTCCTACTAAAACCCCTCAATGCTTTTCCACTGTCCTGGGAACAAAATCCAAGCTCTACCATCACCTAAGAGAGGGTGACCTTCAAATTTATTATTGTCCAAACCAAAATGGGACACTGTGAATATTTACACTGGGACTACAGCCGTGAAGGGGGGCCATCCTAGACCTGTGGTCCCCCTTCCTGTAAGGGGAGGTCCCAAGTGCGGACCACCTCCCTGCTACCATCCTGGACATGCTACCCCCTCCCCTACTCACCACATGCTCCACCCCCTGGGACGCTCTCTGGGTTTCTTGCCTGAGCTGCTGCTTATCTCTGGGCCTTTACACTCACTGTCTCTCTGTCTTGACCACTCTCCACAGTTTCTCCGGGCTAACTCCCCATCCTTTAAGTCTCAGCTTCAATGTTCCCTCTTCAGAGAGGCCTTCTCGGACATGGTCTCAGTTGTGTCCTCCTCCTTATTTTCTCCCTTGAAGCACGGGATTCTCTTCCTTCACTAGATCATTAGTCGTAATTGCATCTGTGTGTGTTGCTTGGTTTGGTGTCTGTCTTCCTCCACTGGCCCGGAAGTTCTGCAAGGGCAGGACCCAGCATGGTACCTGGTATATGGGGCACAGAGGACCATAGACAACCTGGGTTTGAATCCCAGCTCTGCCTCTCTCTTACTAGCTGTGTAACTCCCAGCAAATCTCTTAACCCCTCCATGCCTCTGTTTCTTCATCTATAAAATAGAGATGGTGGTGATGGTAATGAAGCCCACCTATAGGGCTGTTGTGAGAATTCAAGAGTTATTACATGTGTCTATAACTGTGGCACAGGGTGAATGATGTGTTAGCTGTTGCTTTTGAAACAGATGCTCAATGCAGGGTGAGGAGTGAATAAATCACGTAGCTGAAAATCATTCAGCCAAAGGCTGCTGCAGGGATAGGGGCAAGGAACAGACTCTAAGCAACACACTTGGAGGAGGAGGCAAATAAGCAGTCAGGAGAAAGCTGGTGTGCCTGCCCTTTAGATCCCTCTCACCCAGGATGTGGACCTCCCTAAGCCCACCACCCAGGTCTGTCCCCCACAGCCTGCTCTAGCCTTGCCCAGCTATGCCCTGCTCCTGGGTGCCCTCGATCTCCCTCTGCCCCCGGGGTTCACACTGGCCCCCGTAGGGAGTGCTTAACCTGTGTATAGAATGCCATCTCTTTTTTATTCCTTTTTTGCTTTTACCTTCTTTTTAAACTTTAATTACAGAATAATGTACAAATAAGGAGAAAATAATATAACAAGCACCCATGTATCCATAATCACCCATACTGAATAGATGCTAACAGTTTGCCACATTTGCCTTCGATCTCTTTCTCTCTTTTCAAATAAATGAAATACAGCCACAACCAAATTTCCTCCTCCAGCTCTCCTCTTTCTCTCCCTGCCTCCCCAGAGGTAAATCTGGTGTTTATCACTCCCGTACATATGTTTACACTCTTGCCACAAACATCTGTATCCATAACAATATGTAATAGTGTTTTGTGTGTGTTTAGAATTTATATGAAAGGCACCCTGCCATGCATATCATTCTTCAATTTGCCTTTTTCACGCAGCATTATGTCGCTGAGATTTACCCACGCTGGGCCATTTTAATGGCAGTGCATTTGAGAATGGTCCAGTCTCCTGCTGAATGTTAGGTTTTTCTCATTTTCCACTGTTCCAATCAACACTGCAAAAAGCTACCATTTTTCCGAGGTCCTGGTCACGTGTCTCCCTCTTCCAGGAAGTCAGCCCTAAATTTTCATGACCTTCGCCCTTTGCCAGTATGCACTGTTCTTTCTCAATCCCTGCATCTCTGCTGCTCCTCACACATGGCATGGGGACCCTGGGGGGGTGGGGGGGAGTTGTGTTCTCCTCCCTACCGGTCTGTGCTGAGCTGCCCAGCCTCCCAGGGCACGTCTCCAAGTGCCCCAGAGCAGAACTCAGGGACGCTGGTGGAGCTGAATTGAGTGGAATCTATAAAACAGAGATGGTACAATGAGCAAACAGGCCAAGGCCAAGCAAGGAAACGAGGAAACAGAATATTCCAATTTGCCCCAGTGGCTTGGAGGGTGGGGGCAGCAGAGACGGAGGGCAGAGCTGCTTGGGAGCAGCAGTGGCCTGCAGGCTGTGCAGGAGGGAGAGGGGGCCAAGAGACCCTGACACCCCCAGCACTGGGCCCAGGCCTGGGAGAAGGAAGGTGCCTTTGAAGAAACAGGGAACATACTGAGCAGCAACTTTTTGGGGAGAATGTAGACTCCAAGGGGCTATCATATCTGATATGGAGGTGCCATGTATGTGGTGGAGGATGTTGGAAACTTGGATAAGGGGGTCAAAAATGGGGCAGTTGCAGGAGCTGGGGGTGCAGGCACCCAGAAAGAGGTTGGAGCGGGGAGAGCAGAGAGGGGCTGAGGACAAAGCCCTGGGGAACACCCACTTTGAAAGAACCAGAAGGAGGTGGAGAAAGAGGCAGCAGGACAGCTGCTTAGGTGGCACCCCTTCCTCCCAGGCACTGTCACCATGCCAGTTGTGATGAGCACCAGAGATGAGGGGACCAGATGAGAAAGAGCAAGATGAGAAAGAGCAAGAACCATGGGCCACGGAATTGAAGGCACCCAGTAGGGCCACTCCCTGGGGATGTCACACAGACCCAGGTGCCCCTCACTGACACCTCTACCCAATGCCTAGTGGAAGAACAGCCCCATCCGTAGCAGAGAAGGTAGCTGGTAAGCTGCCTCAACAGCAGGGGCCATCAGGAGCCTTAGGAAAGGGCTGGAGTTCCAGAGGGAGGGCTATGATGGGCTGCATCCATGAACCTGAACTGCTGTGGGTCAGGCCAGAGAGGCAGCAGGGAGAGATGACAACCCCAACGGGGTGTCCTGAACTGTGGGGGCCTCTGGGGGACCCAAGTCACTGGCCAAGGGAGACTGGGACACAGACGCCAGTCACCTAAAATTCTGATGGTTCTGGAGAGGGGCTGGGGATCATCCCCCACACCTCCAGTAGCCCCCCTTTTCCAGTGAGGAGCAACTGCAGGGCCTGTGTTCCCCAGAGGCAGGCAGAGGGTCCTCTCTCGAGAAGCTTAGACATCACGTGTCCAATGCCACGATCCCAGGCAGCAAGGCCAGGGAAGGCAGCACTCGCTCCCCTGGGACACCCAGGGAGCTGCTGGTGCCAGAGCTGTGTGTGCAAACATGAAGCACCCCACACCCCAGTAACAGGCACT